TCTTAGTCTCATAGTCTCTATTGTACATACCTTGTATAGTTTGAATTCTTGCACCTTGTGTATAGCAGATACTTGTATATTTTACCTTTGTATTTGTAAGGCACCTTTTCCTTTTCTTATAGGTCATCCCCTTAGGATTTTAGTGTATGTTGTTTGGAGACTTTTTCTCCATTTGACCTTGTATTAAAGATCATTAATTTTCATATTTTTAGTAGCAGAAGTGTAGTAACAAATAGTAAAGTGTGTATTTGCCCTTTTTTAAACAATGGTTGCATCTTTATTACTTGCACCAAAGTTTGTTCATTAGGCACATGACTATGGTGAATAGGGTTTAACCTCGATGGTGTTGTCCAAAGGCAAAGGCCAAGGAAGAGGAAGATAAGAGTTTGGTAATGGGAAGAAATGGTAGTATAGGTTACTTGAATTCATCTTAATTATTCAATTTTTTATCTATCAAAATTATAATAACAACACTGAGATTCAAACTTAAAATTTTGTACATCTTATTCCAACACGGACTAACCCTAATAATATGTTTATCCACATCACTACTAGAATTTCTCTTATTACATGGGACTTTTCTTACAAATTTTTCATAAAAGTTCGCAAGAAACGTTGTTCCTACAAATTTATCTGCGAAACGAAATTTTATCTGTAGATAATACCTTCGTGGATAATATGTTTTTGCGAATTCTAAAATTCGCAAGAAATTTTCCTGCAAATTTCTTGCGAAAAAAATCGCAGAAAAGTTTCCTACAAAAAGAATTGCAAGAAAGTTTCTTGCAAAAAAAAATTCTCAAGAAAGTTTCCTGCAAATTTTTTTGCAAAAAATTTTGCAGAAATATTTTTTACGAAAAAAATTAAAGAAATTACTACAAATTCTATCAATAATTTTTCAACTTTCAAATGCTCACAATTCTCAGGAAAATTTCCTGCGAATTTTTTTGCAAAAAATTTTGCAGGAATATTTTTTACGAAAAAAATTAAAGAAATTACTACAAATTCTATCAATAATTTTTCAACTTTCAAATGCTCACAATTCTCAGGAAAATTTCCTGCGAATTTTTTTGCAAAAAATTTTGCAGGAATATTTTTTACGAAAAAAATTAAAGAAATTACTACAAATTCTATCAATAATTCTTCAACTTTCAAATGCTCATAATGAATTCATCCAAAACATTTGTTTCCACGCCTCCAACATGTGATACATAATCTTTTAAACTCTAAGATTGTAGATTATAAGCCTAACACTCAACCATACAAATCAACTTGTAAGGTAAGTGTTGTCTCAACTTATATACTCTTTAATTATTTTATTCAATTGATGTAGGACTTGAAGTTTTTTAAAAATATTAAACTTATAAATTTAAATATTTTTTTTTATTTTTTCTGCGGATTAAAATTGGCAGGAAAATCTACAAGAAAAGTTACCTACAATTATTTTTTACCATTTAGTAAACATTACTTGCAAATTTATTTTTGCAAGAAAATATGCAAGAAATAAAATAAAATTATTACAATATTTTTTACAAATTTTTATCATAGAAATTTTTTTATGATCATTAAAATTGTAGCAAAATTTGTAAAAATTTCTTGTAGATTATTTTTCATAAAAAAAATTTATAAAAAATATCTATAAATTATTTTTCGCAAATAAATTCGTAAAAAAAATTTGTGAAAATTATTATTGCAAGAAAATTTGCAAAAAAATTTTGCGAATATTTTTTTTAAAAAAATTAACAAAAAAATGACATTTAGTACATGCACAAGCCATTCATAGCACTTCTCCATGCTACTATGCTAGCCACCGTCCAAACGAAGAATATTACAAATTAGAAATAGTAAATCAGTAAATCCTAACAATTTAGCTGAAAACACCCATACCTATATAAAAACAATGACATAGATCATCATCATTTGTCCAAGAGGTCAACAAAAGGGTATGCATACCATAGTGACAACTTGTGTCTTCTTCTCATCTGTTTCCCAGCAAAATAATTAGCTTTAGAAATTTCACAACCACTAACCATTGATTTAGTCATGTTCTACTCTACTACTGATAGTGATCAATTTGTTCAGCTAATGGCCTCCATAAACGAAGATGGTTTGTTCCCATACAAAAATGCCTATAGTGATGATTTTGTCACATGTGTTTTCATGTGTGGTTCTCTGCAATATCATTTCAATATTTTAAATTAAATAATTTAACTTGTCAAATGTTACATAATTAATGTCACATTAGATGCATGCGTGACACACATTGTCTTCTTTAGAAAAAAAATGGCAGACTACATTTGTCATAAATTTTGTTAAAATTTAGGTGGCAACTTAATGGTGATACTAAAATTGTCTAATTTTTAAAAGTGTGTACTAAAATTAAGCAAAAAAAAAAAAATAGAGGATCAAAGTCGTCCTCACATTAACCGGAGATATAAAAATATAATTAAACCATTATTTATCCTCTAGTCTTATATTATAAATTTGAATTTATTCATCTTAAATGAAAAGATCTTTTTAAAATTATTATTTAATGATAACGTTTTTAAGGAGTTAATATCACTCTCATTCACATGTCTCATCATAGTATTATGTATTGATTATTTAATTCTGTTTTTTTTAATCTTTTATTATTTTCAAATGCTTTTTTAATTTTAAATTAAATTTAGTTTTTTTTTCTTAATTATTTATCTCTTTTAATATATTGTTTTCATCTTTTTTAAAATTTAATTAAAAAAATATCAATAAATAAAAATAATCTTATATCATAATATAAATTATATCGTAAATTTAAAATATAATTTATATATTAAAAATACCCATTTATTTATTATAAATTATAATTATATAAATAAATATTTATTCAATACATTACATATATGCTAAGATACCAATTCAATCTATAAAATGCTTAGAATTCCTAAAAATGTTCCAAACCAAGTGTTTATCATGTCTGTCTCGAAAAAAGTGATGCCAAAATATTATAGGACTTATATTAATACTTACAAATTTTGCTATATTCTAGACTATCTATTAATCATCAATGAGACAATCTCCAGCTCAACTTTTCTCATTGTTGTTTTTAGTGAGACTACTAGTACACATGTCATTTAATTTTATCTTCTTTTTTTTTCTTTTGGTAACTACCCTATAAATATCTAATTTGGTGGTATTATATAACATGCACAGAATTTTGGGTAATCCCTACCGATAAATTTTTTTTCCTCCAATTCAGCACCTAAAAAAAATACTTAAAAGCTTATTTTTCAATTAAACCATTTTATAAAAAATAGAAATTAACACATTTTAACTTTATAAGAAAATTATTCTGCATATACGCAAAATGTATTAACATATAAGAATTATTAAATAAAAATGGATAATATGATTTTTTAATTTTTAACTAATTCTTATTATAAGATGAATGATATAGTATAAGTATTTTTCAAGGAATGGTTATTTAAGGGTCTTTCTTTAAATTTTATCTAACAATAAAGAATATATTATAATTAATGCATTATTTGTTGTAAATAATTATTAGTTCATGGTTCTTTATATTCCGTAGAAAACTATGATTCATGTTTCACCTTCATGTATTAAATTTTATGTGACTTTCGAGTTGCAACTGTTTACTTACAATTAATAGGATACTCCATTTGTGAAATGAGAACAAGATTTATCCATTGTCTCTTTTGTTCTCTCTCTATTTTATTTTCTATATCTCCGGTATTTCATTTTTTTTTAAATTTAAGTTATTTTCATAATCTGTAATGAGTATGAGAAAATAATATTACAATTAAATTCATGCATTATTTGTTATGAATAGTTATTGGTGGTTGTTTATATTTTATTGCAAGTTATGATTATCCATGTTTTACCTTCATATATTAATTAACTATATGCAACCTTTGAGTTCCAGCTTTTTACTTATAATTAATAGGAAACTTCGTTTGTGATGAAATGAGAATATAATCTCTGTCACTTATTCTTTCAATTTTATATCTTCCCTACATCCAAATTCTTATGACTTTAAGTTATTTTCATAATGTGTTACGAGTATGAGAAAATCATATTTTCAAATTTATATTTCAAGTTGCAAAGAAAATCCTAACTTAACTTTTTAAGTCAGATTCGAAAAAATAGTTCGAAAAGCAAAAATAAAAAATAAAAAAATCTTTTAACTAGAAGAGATAAATTAATGTAAAGTGAAAAGGGAAAAAAGAAAATAATAGTTGATCCTTAGATACATTATATTTGGATAAAAATAGTGTGAAAGGAAAATAGGAAAAGTGTAAAAAAAATTAAATGTGATAAAGCATATTATGTATGATACTTTAATATATGTATAGGCCAACAACACTTGGTTATTTTGTAAAATAATATAGATCATATAATCATACATAAAGGATAAAGATTAAAAGTTACTTAATTGTCACTCAATCAGTTGAAAAAATACAAATTGGAATTTGTAGTTCTCCTCACTGATCTGATTTTTACATTGACTTATTAAAATCGTACAATAAAATACTATTTTTTTTGTATGGACTGATTTAACATTTGTTCATGAAACCATTCTAGAATGCCAAAAAGAAGTAACATTAAAAGCTATTTTTGTACTCATGCACAAATTTTACACAACTTATTTTGTACAAGTGAAGACTTTTCTTCCTTTTATTACAATTTAAAAAGTTAGGTAAGAAGGATATAAAAATTGAGAGGACAAAATTGCCTGATAGAGAAAAGGGGATAAAAATGGCAAAAAGGGTGTGAAGGGGAAGCAGAAAGGAACGAAAGGAGGGTGGTTAAGGTCAAGAATGAAAGGTTAAGAGGTTATTTGACCAATTTGAAGGAAGAAGAAGAGTGAAGGATTGAGAAGAAGAAAAAGGCAAAAGATGAAAGTAGCTTACGTGGAAGCAAAAAGGGGTGGGACAGACAGCACTATCTTTATAAGTAACGTGAAGGAATCCAACCGCACACAAAGATCTCATAGGCCACAAGAACTTGTGGCTCACAAATTTTCCCCTTTGCTGAAGTGGCATTCCATTTCAACCTAGCTACCCTCTTAATAAACCATTTCACACAACATAATAACCCTCTCTCTCTCTCTCTCTCTCTCTTTTTCTTATCTCCACTATTCCCTATCCATTTTTCGTTGCACACCATGATCGAGTAATCAGAGAGACCAAAGAAACAAAAACAACACTGCTGCTAGCTAATAGCTACACCTACAAAAACAACAAAAACAACATCAACTTTTCTATATACGTGTGTTTGTGTTTATTTTTTCCAAGAAAGAGAAAGAGTCGGAGCCAAAATAGAGAAGAGAGAGATAGATACTCTTGAACTTGAGTGGTTAGTTATACATACAATATAACATAGGAATGTCTGAGGTTATTAAAGACTCGGCCATTAAGCTTTTTGGTAGGACAATTTCTCTGCCACGCAACAACGAGGCTTCTGCTAATGATCCTTCTGAACATGCTCAAGATTGTTCTCATCACAACAATCATCCACGTGAAGTGTGCTCTACACCGGAACATGAAGCTGAGAGGGATAAGGTATGATATGAGCCATGATGGTGTCTGTTTGAGGGTTTAGTTTGAAATATGAAAAAAAAAAAAAAAAAGTTATGGTGCTAAGTGCTATCTAGAACTAGTGTGTTTTGCAAATTTAAGAGTGACCCTTTTTTCAGAAGCTTGTGATTGTTAATGGGTTCAATCAAATTTTTCATCTTTTTGGCACCTACTTATGGGGTCATCGGTTGAGGCTTGCTGCAATTTCCCATGGCGATTTTGAGAACCCTTTTGTTTGAAAAGTGCACAAAGTGTTTTGCATGATCACAGATGGTTCATGAAATTATTTTACTTTTTTTTTTTTGTTCTTTTTGAATTTTATTTAATCGTTTCTTAAGTGGTGGCTACAAGTCATTGTGGGGCACTGTCAGCAAAACTGGATCCAGTTCATTCCCAGAATATAATTTAAGAATATAACGAATAATATTATGTGGCTGAACTCGCATGGTTTTGTTTTGTCCATTCTAATGGTGAATCATTAATTTTTCTTTAGACTTTAGTAATCCAAATTCCAAAGTAAGGTTTCTAGCTCAGCTGGTTCAAATTTGATAAACTTGATCCTTAACTTCTTTGATTTGAAGATTTCGTATTGAATTTCTTGCTCTAACAAACTGTAATTGCTTTTAACGCGTTCGACTTCTATTGGATCTTACTTTATTATAGTATGACATTGTCCACATTCATTTGCTTATTCTGTTTCCAAACAAGACTATTCGCACGGAGGAATTCTTTATAGAAGAATATTTTGGTTTCATTATTGTTGAACTATTGTATACCCTTTTGATTTCTCACTTAGAACTTTTAACAGGGGGTTGGAGAGTTTTTTTTTTTTTTCAAAAAGAAAAAAGAAAAATCCTCCATTCAATATTGTTTGATACATAACAGTTGTATTCAGAGCTTAATTTGTTTTTCTCTTTCTGAATTTTCCTCCGATGACTATGTTCTAGTTTGTTTCTCCTGAAAGCTTTGTCTAATAATATACTTCTAGAATCCCGAGTATGTATCGCTCTCTTTTCTTCAGAAATTAAGGGAGATTTTCTTGATGAAGTGTTTATAATATTCTACTGGTTTTCTACTCTGGACTCTCACACAACACCCTCATTCATCAAAAGAAGGTCATATTTTAGTAATTAAAACCTGATTAACAAAGAAGAATAAATCATATACCTCGCCTCTGTTTTCTCCCCTGTTTTTTCTACTTTTTCGCTTCAAATTACCAAGAGAAACGTGTGAAACCTAATCACCACAAAATACAAAAATACTTTTGTGCCTCTAAAACATTAGATTGCAAAACTAACATAAAACATAATAGTATATCAAGAATAATTACCTTTTAATATTTTCTTGTTTATTTATTTATATGCCATAACAAACAAATCAGTTATACAATCGTCAACTTATGAACATACATAGCAATCTTCCTTGTCCCTAAATGATATGAAATAAAAATAAAAAATAAAAAATAAAAACATAATTCAGTTTCTCCTTTTTGATTTTTGCAATTTCACATGTTGTGTAAGCTATAGTGAATGACTTCAATTTTGATACAAAGTGAGTATAAGAATCATTCTAAAGGTAACTTTTAATAATCGTTAACAAAATCAAACAGTGCATAATACTCTATAATTACATTATAAATATATCTTATCTAATTCTATTGTGTATTAATCTCAGGAACCATCAAGGAAAGAACTCACCTCAACACAAGATCATGAAGATGCCTCACATGATCAAACCCCAGAGGAACCAAAATCTCCAACATCCTCAGGCAATCCGGAGAACCCCAAAACCCCCTCAACCGAAAGAGAGACTTCTTTACTGAAACCCTCAAAAAATGGAGACCAAAGCGACACAACAAGCTTATCACAGGACAAAGCTCCAAAGAAACCAGACAAGGTGCTTCCATGCCCTCGATGCAACAGCATGGACACCAAATTCTGCTACTACAACAACTACAACGTGAACCAGCCTCGCCACTTCTGCAAGCACTGCCAGAGATATTGGACCGCAGGAGGAACCATGAGGAACGTGCCAGTTGGTGCTGGTCGCCGCAAGAACAAAAACTCTCCCTCTTCTGCATCACACTATCGCCAAATCATGCTTCCCGAGACTCTCCAAAATGGATCATTGCACACTAGTGCTGTCTTGACCTTTGGATCAGACTCTCCTCTTTGTGACTCCATGGCTTCTGTGTTAAGCCTCGGAGATAAATCACAAAATGGTGTCCTAAACGGGTTCCATGCACCTAAGCATAATACTAATACTAATGGGGATGATGTTGATAACTCTAACTCACTTGGTGGTTCTATTATGGCTTCAACTTTGTGTGACAATGCTACTAGCACACATGAAGAATCAGTGGATAATAAGAGTTATCAAGGTTTCACTCCTTGGCCTTATCCATGGAACCCTTCTGGATTTTGCCATCCTGTGTCATTCTACCCCACACCACCATTCTGGGGTTGCATGCCAATGCCAGTACCACCAGCATCACCCTCTTGGAGTTCCCACTCCTTCCCTAATTACCCACCTGCCCCTACTAGTTCTGGTCCAAACTCACCAACCTTGGGGAAACACTCAAGAGATGGGGACATTTTATTTCAGCCTGGCACAGAAAATAACAAGAGTGTGTTGATCCCCAAGACACTGAGAATTGATGACCCTACTGAGGCTGCAAAGAGCTCCATATGGTCAACACTAGGGATCAAGAATGACAAGTTAAATAACCATTCCCTCAATGGAGGAGGACTTTTCAAGGCATTTGCATCAAAGGGTGATGACAAGAACAAGAACCATGGGATGGTGGTTGAAGCATCACCAGTGCTGCAAGCCAACCCTGCTGCGTTGTCAAGGTCCCTTGTCTTCCATGAGAGGACATAATTGCTGTGATCTAGCTTCATCAGATTCTAAATTGTTTCTGATTCTCAAGTAGCAGCAGTAGTAGGCCATACCAGTTCAACTTCAACTACAACCTTGTTCTGGGGTGGTTACATGTTCTTTTTGGCTTTTCTCCATGAGAAGTTGTATTATTCACCAACATTTCTGCAGGATTTGTAGGACAGGATATATATATATAAAGTCTAGCTTCCCTTAGTTCCCGTCTTGAACCTGTCAGAGCGAACAGGTGTTTTTTCAGATTTAGATCACTTGGTGAGTAAATATCTTTCATGTACATTATAATTATATATATATATATAAGAGACAGCATAAATAACAAGGAGAAAAGACAAAGGAAAGCAGATTCTTAATTGGACTAAAATCCAATGGTGGTTATTTAGGGTCTTCAATCTTGATTTGCTTCTTCTTTCTACTTGTGTTTTTAATTTTGAGATTCTCTCTGCATCAATATAGTGATTTTTTAGTTCCAACAGATTTTTTACTGTGTTGTGTCAGTTTCTGTAAGGTGTTGGACTCAGAAATAGAATAATGTTTATTTATTATTACATGCTGCTGTTGCGTAATTTTGGCTTTTCATTTGTAATTATTTTCCGTACTTTTACTATGTTGTTTTGCCACCTAGGACAAATTTAAAATATCTCGTATATGTGCACCAATTAAGCGTTGCTCAATAATAATGGGTGCACAATGGAGAAATCCATCATGTGCCAAAGCGATAAAGCACTGATGTGACCTTCGCACGAGTGGAGTCAAAGAGCATTTTCTTTTCTTTATGGTGGCTCAGGATCAAAGACTATTATTATTCATCACTTAATAACTATTAATCAAAAATAAACTAGTTACTCTATTAAAGAAATCTTTAAAATAATCATTGACTTTACACTATATATCATTCAATGATAGATTATACCTGTTAGAACTTAGAAGAGAGACATATCTTCTAATCACGACCAAAAAGTTTTAAAAATATATTTGGAATTTTCTTAGTGTATCACAGTATCAGAACATAAACATATATATGTGTGTGTATTTATGCTGAAATTAAACTCGTTGACCTGTAAATAATTTTAATACTTTAGGTTGAGTTGTGGACTCAAAATAAAAATAAAAATAAAAAAACTATTCTATTTTAATTGATTTAAAAAAAATTTCAACTTCTCTTATAATGTTTTAATCAATTCCCGTCCAAATGAAGTTTCCAAACAAGCTTGTGCATTGTTCAATGAAGAATGAACGTCCATTTGAGTGATTAAATGGCAAGTCAAACACATCTTAAATCTACATCATCTATTCTCTTTTTATATAAAAGTGACGACGAAAAAAAAATTACATGTATTCTCATTATATATAACTTAGAATAGTTGTTTTGTAAAAAGAGTATTTTTCAGGAATGTTTTTAGAGAACTTTCTTTAATAAAATGTTTTAAAGAATTTTTTTAATAACATATTTCTTTTAATTTATCCTTTGCATCTTTATTTATAAAGTAAATTTTAATTTAAAAAATATCAATAGTTAAGCAACTTTATATCATAATATGATTTTTATTATAATTTTACAGTTCAATTTATAAATTATTTGTCCAAAAATATTTGTTTATTATAAATTTTAATTATATCAAATAAATATATTTTTTCGATATCACTTGTTAAAATACTAGTTTATTAACGATTTCTTTTTTCTTTTCTTTTCTTTTGGTGATGTCTTTTTGTCAATTTCTTTGTGGGGATGGATGATACGATATTATCTTGAATTCTCTTAAAAAGAAAAGTAGTCCATGTATAGTCCAAGTAATAATAATATTTGTTGATTTAACCGCAAAAATTGTTGACGAGATTTTAGACCAAGTACTTAATTATATGGGAGTAAAATTATAATACTTTTTTGTAATTTACAGTTGTGTCCATGTCAAAATTAAAATAATAATATTTTTTGCAAACAATATAATATATAATTTGTTCATTCCTACTCAATATGGTAAAATTTATATAAATATATAAACTTAAATATAATTGTTTGAGAACTAAATATATTAATTTATATTCTCACCTCCTAAAATACACAACTGTACAGAATAGAGATTATAGCAAAGCAGAAGTTGAAAGAGAAAAAGAAATTTGTAGGTATTCACTTGTGTGGATAAACTCGAATAATTGTGAGAAAAGTTCAAACACATAATCGATAACATCCAAAACAAGAAGAACAGCATAAAGCTACCAAACTTTATATATATACCTATTAATTATCCCCTTTACTTTTTGCATCTTTAATATATGTGTAAGCCAAGCCAGGTGTGGCTAATTAGAAATCGTCAAAAGCAACATTTATTTTATCAAATATTAATAGTTTTTAAATACTTTTATTAGGGTTATATAGGAGATAGCTACATGCATCACTGAAATATGAATTGGGGAACTTAGGATCACAAAGATATTTCGTCAAGTTTAGGTGGCCACAAGTTATATATGGTTGTTAAATGTTCATGTGGTCCTTAATTTTTCTCTTCCTTATATAACTTCATCATATCTCCTTTTCTCTGTTTGTTAATTTCCTTCTCTTTTATAAGCAATGGCATGTTTGGTCCCTACTTCTATCGGCATGTCTGGTTTTGGCTTCATGGAGGGGACAAGAACATGCCAATTCAGGTGTTCATAAATCATAACCAAACAAAATACCTAATATCTTCCCACCTAAATTCCTCTACGTTCTGTGAGATTCAATATATCTTCTTAGATTAGCATGGATATTTATAATTTCATTTGGTAATAAGTTGTGATACTTCTCCAGAAAAATAAATGCTTTTTTTTGTGAATTTACCACACAGGGATAGCAACATGATGTTATTGTTAATTAAAACCATCTTAAATATTAAATAATAAATACAACAAAAAATGTTAAATGGGAAATATGATCGCTATTTATTTTGTTATATTTATGTGTATAAATCGGTAGAGGTGCTGATTTTTTATTTTTAAAATGTGAGACTCTTTATCTCATATATTAATACTCATAAATAAATAAGATAAATTTTTTATGAATATGAAAAAACTTTAGCATTAAAGAAAAATAGTTTGCAAATCACTTTCAAAAATAAAAGAAGTCACATCTATTCAAAACTGAAAACAAATACTTAAAAGAAATGCAAAATTTAATAAATTTCACTACAATAAATGTTACATATAGTGACATACAAAAAATGTTACTATAAGTATAATATATGTAGATATATATTTATTTGGCATATAGTTATACACAATTTTAGTGTTGATTTTGAATGAGATTTAACAACATATTTTGTGTGTCACTATAGCTTATATTTACATTTTTTAACAATATACCAACATATATTATATTTATTGTGTAGGTAAAAGTAATTTTTAGTAACAATATTGTGTCACTATAGGATGTGTATCACTATAGGATGTGTGTCACTATATGACAATTTTCTTGTAGTGAGTTAAAAATAAATTATTATGGCTCCAAAAATAATTTTATATGGTACATAAATATAATAAAGAGTTCTAAGAAATAAAGATCCTAATATGAGGATTCCAAATTTCTCATCCTATTAAAGCTCGATTAATAATACATCACAAGGATCACTACTAGAAAAATGTCATTCCTGCGAATTTTCTTACAAAAAATATTTGCATAAATTTTTTGCAAATTTTCTTTCAATAATAATTTCACAAAAAAAATTATGAATTTATTTGCGAAAAATAATTTACAAATATTTCTTACAAATTTTTTATGAAAAATAATTTACAAGAAATTTTTGCAAATTTTGCTACAATTTTAATGATCATAAAAAAAATTTCATGGTAAAAATTTGCAGAAAATATTGTAAGAATTTTATTGTAGATTTTCTTGCAAAAATAAATTCACTAAGTAATGTTTACTAAATAGTAAAAAAATTTTGCAAGTAACTTTTCTTGTGGATTTTCCTGCCAATTTTAATCCACAAGAAAAATCAAAAAATATTTAAATTTATAAGTTTAATATTTAAAAAAAAACTTCAAGTACCACAGCGATTGAAAATAAAACAATTAAAGAGTATATAATAAGTTGAGACAACACTTATCTTATAAGTTGATTTGTATAGGAATTACTTCTTAAAAATAACATAAAACTACTTATTTTAAAAAAATAAATTTAGACAAATACATCAAAAAGTTAAAAAAAAAGTTTTTATTTTATTAAAAAAGAAATGTTTCTATAGGAAGAATTTTAAACAAATGGATCCAATAAGACATATCCAAATTTAATAAATTATTAAATTTTAAAAACTTATAACGAGTTCTTAATACATTAGAACTTATCAAATAACATCGTACTTGAGTTATTATCCAAACGAACATCTATAAAAATATGTATTTATAACAACATATAACTTCCTTTAATAACCACTTTCTTAAAACATATATATTGTTAGATTATATTTCTTTTTTTCACCAATGTATCTCTAAAAGATAAAACAAGAAAAACTTGTATATATAAAAAATTAATTATCCACTTTATCAATAATAATTAATTTCTTTTTTTATAACAGAATGAGAAAGTGTGTTTTTTACTACTAATAAAAAATAAATTGTATAAGTCACTATAAATTTTCTCCATACACATCTTATTTTTAATTTTCTTCTTCTAAAACCCTTATTATTCAAAAAAAAAAAATATATATTGTTTTAATTAATTAAATCAATTTGAGCTTAATGAACCCATTTAATTAAGGGAATATAAAACTCTCCATATACTCATTCTTTTTATAAATAAAAAAATCAAATTTGAAAAGAATGAGCTCGAATATGCCTTTTTTACCATATTATTTGAAATATAAATATATATTTTCTAACTCTTTTAATTAGTTCCAGTTTATCAGTATGTATATTTGACACCATAATATATATAAAAATTATTACTACAAAATATTTATAAATTTGATCAGTGATTAATTTTTGTCAAAAAAATTTATCAACTATTTTTAATGATGTCTTATCTTCTCCTTTAATCATATTTATTTATTTATAAAACTCAAATGTGAGTCTTTATTGGAAGAAATGAATAAGTTGAAGAGTGAATCTTTCCAACAAGTTATATGTAGATGGAATTGAAGTTGTGCATTAAGTATGAAGTAAGTTCGGGTTGCTTCACTTACGGGTAAGAATGAAGACTTTGAAAATTCAGGTCTTGTTTTGTTTTTGGGTGCAATAAAGTCTTATATATTAAAGCTTTGCATCGATATTTTCTTAGCAACATGGTGGAAGTGCACCCTTATCATTATTATTTCCCACCCAACACACTAAAAGACAACCAAAATGTCCATAAGAACTTTCCTATCTTCGACCCTACCACTACCATTAATTTACAATGGGGACACAATAATTATTCCTCACACCATATAAAATAAAAATATATACTATCATATATGTGTAGATATATATTCCTTTGTTTATATAGGTATGAAAGTTAAACATCAACTTGGATGCTTTGAACTATCCAAAATGTTGGATGGGAACATAATACTCTAATTAATAAAAGAAAACACCACTCCGTTATAATATTTTGTATATATAATTTCTTTTTAATATCATATGCATACATTACTATCATGTGACAGAAGTCAACCTTAACTCCACTACATTTACAGCAAAAGTCCTAAAAATATCATTTTCAGGAAGTAATTTTACATAATCCCTCTTCTCTATTTATTGTTTACCAATTTTGATCATTGATTAACATTTTATTTAAAAAGGAAAAGGGGTTGGAGCAAAAGAACAAAATAAATAAATAAATAATGCACATGATGAACAACGGAAATAAATTGGACAAGAACTGGACTGAGGCCTACTTGATATCATTATTAAGCATTTGGGCTGCAATGAACGCTTTACTATTCTTCATTTTCCGGATCATAACCATTAGCCTCAAGATTTGTACACTTTTTTTAAGTACTTTCTTTTCTTTTAAAAAAAATTTCTAAAATATATTTTTTTTAAATTTTATACTTCTAATGTTCAATTTAGTACCTTTTTTTTTCTTTTTTTCAATTTTCACATGTATTTTTTTACCTTTTTTCATTTCTTACTTATTTCTCATTTCTTACCTATTTTTTCTCTCTCTCTTTTAGTTTTCACACAAACTCAAGACGTAGAACTGGTGCTCGATAAATTTATAAATGCATGTGGCTGCCTCAACAATATCAAAGGTGTTGAGTTGAATGTGTGATTTTTCTTTGAATATTTCTCGCATTTATGCAAAGCATAACATTAAAATAAGTGTTCAAAATTATTTTAATGTTTCAGAAAGTATTTTTCGGAATAATAAAATTAGTACTTGATAAAGTTTTTCATAATTAATTTTTATCATACCTTTGGAAAACACTTTTTAGAACACAAAATTTATTGTTTCAGAAAAAACTTTATGAAATTATATAAAATAATACACTTCCAAGAAGAACTTTATAGAATTATGTAAAATACTTTCAAAAAGTATGTAAAAGAGGTGTATGAAAAAAAGTGAAATTGAAAATTGAAAGTATAAAATTTAAAAAATTAAAAAATAAGGATATTTTAGAAAAAAAATTAAAAACAAAATAAAGAAGTCATACTTATTAATATATATATATATATATATAACAGAGAAAGAAGATTCATGGTCCAATCACATTATTAATTCGCTGTCCAAAAAAAAATCAGATTGAGTTGCTTTCATTTGATACCAGTACTCACGTCAAAAAAAAAATAAAATATATATATATATATCTATATATAGCAAAAAAAATCATGCATCATAACTCTTAGTTAAAAACATGATAAAATTTAGGCAAAAAATAAATATCATGCATCTCCTAGGATAGTACATTAGCATACATTCATTAGAAATGGAAGACACATGTAATAGTATGCAAAGAATGTTCTCTAAACAAAAATCAATGAGAATGATATCCGTTGAATTTCTCATATGTCTTTGCATCCTATTTTACGTTTCATATAGATAACACGTCTTCCTTGTAAATAATAAATACGAATAAAATATATATATATATATATATATATATATATATATATGGATCCAAACTTGCCAATAGTCACTCTGCCCCTTAACTCAAACTTGCTTTATACTCGAAACATTTTCTATAAATATGTTCATTACTTTATACACATTGCATTATTTATATAAATTTGTTAAACCCTATTCTCCAAAAAGAAGACAATTCATCAAAAACAAAAAATCTTAAACCATGTCTTAACTACTACACACATACCAACAACATCTCACACAATTGATAAATAGTTGTATTCCTTAAACATGTTACCTGGGTTGAATGACGAGTATTGTATCATTCTACAAATCTTTATATACATCTTTTTACTACTTTATAAAAAATATATTAAATAAAAAGTAAACATAGTTAATATAATAGAAATACAAAATGCTGACGCCGGGGACCGTGTAGCGTGACAGAAACAACTAATAGCGTTTTTCTTTGACAACCAAGAAATAATGTATGTTTCCACGTACTTTAAGGTAACAAAACATGATGATTCATCAAGAAATTTCAATAATTCTCCCTAGAATCTCATTGCCGAGTCTTTTGACATCATTTTCATGACCGCGTAAGTCCATGTCTTATCCTATTGTAAATTTCATAGAAATTCTTCATGAACAAACTGCTTCTCAGTAACTAACATAAAAATGTTTTTAACAAACACTTTCTTCTAGGATGTTTAATTTTAAGCAACGTAGAATTTTAGACACTAGACACTTTCCCCTTGCATCACGTTTAAGGGTTGACGCTTATGCTTGAAGCTCATACAGGGTCTTTGCATTCGTGTGTATAAATAGTGACATTGAATCCAAGAACAACTACATCCATAATAGTTCAGTGTATCCTTTCCCTTGTGTAAGTATATATCAATAATGGAGCAGAAACTTGGTAAGACAAACATATTTATGTTCTCTTTATTTCTTAGAATTCTGACGTGGAATGTTAGAATAAAGGGTTTGTTGTCTTTTTTGATTTACCTCAAGTTTGTGTTTAGTTTTGTCTCTCAAAAACTGAAGGCTTGGACCATAACTAGAGTGAACTCAAATTGTGAACCTATGAAGCAGAGTTTAGGTGCAAGAGTGTGCAAAGAAGACGTGGTTTTGGTGATGGAGAAGCTAGGAATTGATGTGGAATGTGATGGCGATGGGGTAGAGGAGTTTGGTGAGGAAGAAATTGTGGAGTTGTTTGATGATGAGGATGTTACCATGTCAGAGGTGGAGGAAGCATTTCAAGTGTTTGACCAAAACAAAGATGGGTTTATAGAGGCAAGAGAGTTGCAAATGGTGTTGTCTTGTTTGGGGTTAGGGAAAGATTTGATGGAATGTCAGAAAATGATTAATGCTGTTGATCAAAATGGTGATCAACTAATTGATCTCAATGAGTTTGTTAGGATTATGGAACACTGCTTTTCATGAAACTTTTTTTTTTTTTTTTTTTTTTTTACCTTGAAAGACGTTTAGGTGCAAGTATTTATTGGGTCCAAATTTGTTGCATTTAATTACTTAGCTAGGTATCTTGATTTTGTAATTTACTACAAATAATAATTTCATGTACTTTCTCTTACGTAATTATCAATCCAGTTTCACTGTCACTCCCTCTGTTCTCCTATATAATTATAAATTAAAAGATTACACATTAAAAAAATTAGTATTAGAAAAAATATCATTAAATGAGATAAAAGTAGTTAAATTTATTTATATTTAAAAAAATATATTTTTCTTGCTTATAATAGAAAATGAGGAAGTACTCATTGAATTTTGTTACTAAATCTATGTTTTTGGATTTTGGACTTTCGGTAATAAAATGCTGGAATCTGTCGGCAAGCCCACTGGGCCTCGTAGAAGCCCAAAATAACTTAATTTCTGATTATGCACCTTGTACTGGCTTCTGTATTTAACAAATAGAATTAAGTTAGACTTAATTAAATGAATTAAGTTATAGGTACAGACAACTAAAATTTACGCATCTAATTTGGAATTGGTCCATTTTAAAAAAATACAGATATAATTATTGATTAAAATTTTTAAAATATCATAATTTATATTTTATAATATGTTATATATTTTTAGTATAATTTTAATAATTAATTTTATCAATAATTATATATTTTTTCTATATAAATATCAACCATCTCAGCATAATTAATAGTAAATTTTATTTTTTTCACTAGAAAATATAAATCTTTTCTACTGAGTTACGACTTTATACATGAGGCAGAGCTTCAATGAGTAATGCTACTGTGAGTGCTTATTCTTAAGTTTATCATTATCATTATTAAATTACGAATGATAGACCCTTGTGACACTAACTTTTGTAACAGTCACTTCAATTTTTAATTTATCCAATCACTCTATTTATTAAAAAATGTTAATCATTAAATAAAAAATCATATAATCTAATTATAATTTTAAAAGCTAAAAAGATATAAAAATAGGTCAATATTTCGAATATAGGATATTTTGATATAATTATAAGCGGGTGTCACTGTTATGGAATATATATATATTTATAAATATATACAGAGAGGGAAAAAAAAAAAGAGAATCCGTGTATTTTAAGAATAAATTTATTTAAACTTATTTTGTTTAATAACTCATGTTCTACGTTAAATTTTAATGATTCAATTAATGAACTTAAAGTTTTAAATTTATAAATTAAGTTTGCAAATTTTTTAAAATTTAAAAATTATTGGTATATCATTTCAACAATTCAAATCAAAATATTAAATGATTTTATAATTGTTTAATATAGGATAGTTTGATATATA